TTTTTCAGAATTCAATTTGACTCTTTCCCGTGAAATTCCCGTCATTTCAACAGAAAATTTTTCCGACGTTTTCGTAAAATATGTGTGTATTAATTAATCGTTTAATTCACATTAATTATATAAATAATTAATTAGTTAATTTAAAAAATAATTAATTACAAAATTATTAAAAAAAATTTAACGTGGAATTAACACAAATTTATTTTCGTTCAAACAGTCTAACTACAACAAATCAGATTCAGCTCGAAATCAAATGACCGGATTGTCAAAATAATATTTATCTGCATGCAAAATTTATTGCACAAGAAAAAGCGCTCAAATTTTTTATCACTGAGAATACATTTTTCAAGATTCTGTTAAATTTTCGAGGCGCTTTACTGACGCGACGATTGAATTTGCACATTTTTTAGGGAATTGTTGACGGATATTAACTGATGATGAATAACGTGGAAAAATATTCAATTCACATTGACTCTCGGGGTGAAAAAAATGAGTATAAGAATTTAAATATATTTAAATGAATGAAACAGGCCTTAAGTCCAGCGTCAGTAATTATCTAGGATTATCTAAGTGGACGTGTGCAAAAGCTTGCTGATATGTAAGGTAACGTGGCATCTCACCGACACATATTGCAATGATATTCCTACGGGCAGGACATCTGCTACTAAATACAAAAATTTTAACAGTGCAATTCCTACGGATGTCGGTGTAGCAGCGATGCCCGCTCCACTTAGCGCTGCAAATTAGCGACAAATTTTATCAGTTCCAAGATGAATGAAGAGCGACCCTCATTAAGCTGCAGCTGTGGATAACGTTAACGTAACGCCACGTCTGCACAACGTAGCGCCACGTCTGCACAACGTAGAGCCACGTCTGCACAACGTAGTTGCACAACGTAACGCCACGTCTGCACAACGTAGCGCCACGTCTGCACAACGTAGCGCCACGTCTGCACAACGTAGCGCCACGTCTGCACAACGTAGTGCCACGTCTGCACAACGTAGCGCCACGTCTGCACAACGTAGCGCCACGTCTGCACAACGTAGCGCCACGTCTGCACAACGTAGCGCCACGTCTGCGCAACCTAAATGAAAAGTGAATGCAAATTGCCAATTAAATGAACTTAAAGCTCGAATAAACGGTATTCATGTATTTCTAAATATATTTATTGGTCAATGAATGTCATTATTAATCTTTGCACGTGTCATATAGGATATTGTCTGCAGTATGTCGGCGCTGAAGATGCAACCAAACCTCGCCTGTAGCAGATCCTTGTAAGTTTGATACCAGGTTTCCATGGAGTTTAAATATACTAAGCACCTACATGGTCAGATTGGTAAGCGCCAAATTTAATTTAAACATATTCATCTGCCTAAAAATAACTATATCTATGTTTGTTCTTGGATGAGGTCATACTCGATGGAGTCTGTTCCATTGAAAGTATTCCAAAATCAAAAAAGGATTGTAGAATGGAAGAGTTGTACAGCAGTTTTTACAGTTAACAAAACGGTCCTAATTATAATTTTGGGTTCATATTCATCTAGTTTTCTTAGAACCTTAGATAGATGGATTAAAATATTGTTGTTGTAATTCTTTCTAAACTTGACATGAATATAGTTACGTAAGAAAATCGGTGCTACAAAATCATAATTAGTTAAAAATTGTGAATATTATGCACCAAACGTGATTTCGGCATCCCAGTAAAATTACCTGGTGTTGACTATGCAAAATAAATCAATTTGATCTTGTCACTATGAATATGAATTCATAGTACATATAGGACTGATAGTAATTCTTGACACACGTGTCAGATAGTGAGAGGCTGTGACACATCCTGTGTGGCTGGTATATAAGTGCTGATAGCGGCGCTAGCCATACAGTGCAACTCCTGCTATTGTCCTGCTGTGTTACTGCTGTGTTACTGCTGTGTTATAGCTGTGTTGTTTCTGTGTTGCGGCTGTGTTACAGCTGTGTTATTTCTGTATTGCAGCAGTGTTACAGCTGTTATTTCTGTATTGCAGCTGTGTTGTTTCTGTGTTGCGGCTGTGTTATTTCTGTATTGCAGCTGTGTTACTGCTGTGTAATTTCTGTACTGCAGCTCTGTCATTTCTGTATTGCAGCTGTGTTACAGCTGTGTTATTTCTGTATTGCAATTGTGTTACAACTGTGTTATTTTTGTATAGCAGCTGTGTTACAGCTCCGCTATTTCTGTATTGCAGCTACACAGCTCAGTTATTTCTGTATTGCAGCTACACAGCTCAGTTATTTCTGTATTGCAGCTGTGTTATAGCTCTGCTATTTCTGTTTTGCAGTTGCGTTACAGCTGTATTGTTTCTGTATTGCAGTTGTTTTACGGCTGTGTTATTTCTGTATTGCAGCAGTGTTACAGCTCTGTTGTTCAGTATTGAAGCTGTGTTACAGCTGTTACTTCTGTACTGCAGCTGAGTTACTGCGTTATTTCTGCGTTAGAGTTACTGCGTTATTTCTTTATCGCAGCTATGTTATTTCTGCACTTTCACAGCATATTTCTGAACTTTTTTCACAACAGTGTTACAGCTGTGTTATTTCTGTATTGCAGCTGTGTTACAGCTGTGTAATTTCTGTATTGCAGCTATGTGACAGCTGTGTAATTTCTGTATTGCAGCTGTGTTACCGCTGTGTAATTTCTGTATTGCTGCAGCTGTATTATAGCTGTGTTATTACTGTATTGCAGCTGTGCAACCGTTATGTTATTTCTGTATTGCACCTTGGCTATTGCAGTTTTAGTGACTGCTCGGTTTGCGCTCTTTTGAGATTAATTATTCTTATCTTAATCATCGATTAGCTTTTTCTCCTTCTTATTCAAATGAAGCCTTCAGGACGAAAGTTTCGATGATGCAGTTCCATTAATTAGATCTAAACCACTTCCCTAATTTTATTTACTTTTAAAGTGGCCGATTTTAATTTAAATAATTAATATTAACGGATAAAGACCAAATTTGTCATGATATATAATTGCGAGTAATAGTTAGAATGAATAGATAAGTAAAATATTTCAAAAGTTTTTCTAAAAAAATGGAAATTAAATGGGATTTATCATTAGGACAAATAATTATTACAAATGAATAATTAAGAAATATCAACTGTTCAAAATTTTAAATAAAATAAAAACATTTTAAGTTCCTGTTTTCCTTGCAGAAGAAATTACAAAGGCGTAGTGTTGCCGTTCGGTGATATGATTACATGAATCAAAATGTGTAATGAATCTGGATCAAGATACAAATAGTGCATTGAGATCATAGATTGTTGTTTTTATATTTGATTCATGGTGCTGCGTTCCATTTCAATTAATTTACCTATTTACATGGAATTCTACAGTACGCTGACCTCATGCTCTTATAAAGCAGACTGCAGAAGTACTGACGCAACAATACCGTAGCTAGCATATCTCGTTTCCCCACGAATTGAAACATGCAGCTAGCGAACATGTTCCGTTTCGCCGCGAAGTGAAACAGTCAGCCAACGAGCATATTTCGCGTCGCAACGAATTGAAACATGCAGCTAGCAAACATGTCTCGTTTCGTGAGGAGACAAAAGAATTGAGACGAGTCTCCCCTCTAGACTCACCGCCAAATATCCTAGCAAATCTTATATAGGCTATCAAGTCAGGCCTCAATGCAATGCTCATTTGCGTGATGTGCCGCACCAGACAAACGCACTGCGGTGGAAATCTACTTCGTTCAGAGAGATTCTCTGCGAATTTGCCACAAGACGTACCTATTTCTTATGATTAAGAATGTCTTTTTGAGGGAACAAGTTTATAAAAGCGGTATACCATGCCACATATTGAAAAAATGAAGTAAATTTTAAATCCCAGGATCTCATGCTCAATGAAATTTAAAGTCCATCAGAGAAATGAGTAGGAATAAAAGTTAAGGGGTTCCAATATTAGGTGTTTATATATCCCGTCCTTGCTAGCTTTATTATTACATATAACTTAAATAATCGTCATCTGTTGTTCACACTGAAATGTGTTCTTTATATTTCCATCACTTTTTACATGCATTGAATAATTTTTAATTAAAATGGCTGTATAATAGCATTTCTTTCTAAGATAAGAATCATTCATTTGGCTTCATAAACATTAAATATTTTACAAATACTGATCTAGTTCAATATGCTTTAATAGTTATGCTAAATTTAAAAATATTGTCATAGAAGTAATTTCTTTTGAAAAAATGACATTTAGCTCAAGTATTATCCAGTCGTGCCTTATAGATCAATGAAGCCAGGTTAGTCAGAAAAATATACATTTTAAAAATTCAATTCAGTAAATTTGTAAATGTTTTCAGTGCAGGTTATTCGCAGTAACTAACTATCCACATGAGAAAAAGTTTTTTAATGTTTTAATGAATCGAATTTAGTATTAATTTATTTTGTGTCTTAGTTTTATTTTACATTTTTTAGAAAAGATCATTCCCTGCGTTGTATATTCCTTTGCCAATTGTTTAAGGTAAGCAGTTGTTGTCTTATTAAAACTTTTCCCGTATAAACCAACAAACTTTCGTATTAAACCCTCAGTCAACTATCTGCTTTATCCTCACATGTTTGAGTTCATGAATAAACATGGGGAGCTCAGTAATTTAAATTTTGGGAAATTAGCGCTAATGAGTGACTAATTAAGTTTTTTATCTCTTCTTATTCGTATCAATTTCCCCATTCAAATTTTTACAGTGCAATAACTAAAGTTATACTCATATAGTGTTTGGAGTTAACACACACTTGTGTATTTTCCGAAACTATTTCATTGACGAAGTTTCCAATAGCCTCGCGTATTTGCTGGTTGAATACATTCATGAATAATAGAATGACAATATTCAAATTTTAGGCTCTTTCAAAAACAACACATTAGTTTTAAATGGCGGCTTTAGAATACTGTTAATTTTAATTTTTTTCATTTTGTCAATCATAATTCATTTTCACATGTTTCTTCATTATTCATTTTGCATTTTTATTCGTTATTTCATTGTTATTGTTCTGTGTTCGTTTCCTCATATGTTTTTTGCGGTGGCCCTCAACAGAGGGAGGCCCTGGAGGCCTGGCAGAAAGGCCGGTATGTTTCATCTGAACAAACAAAAAGCTTTCGGGGAGACTCCTTCAAAACGAAGCATTTGAAGGCCCTCCAAAAGTTTAGCGATGGGAACTCGAAGCTTCCTGGAAAAGAAGGTCTTGTGAAAGGTGCGACGCTTTGCTGCTTTTTGAAATGCAGCCCTGAAAGACAATGATGAATTAAGCACAGTTTTTATTAAATGCATGATACAAAATATTACGGCATATTACAAAAGTTATTGTAAACTATTCTGCAGGATACGAAGCATAACTTTCATTAAAATACATTCATTTACACTTATCTTGTCTGTAATACAATGTCTGTGTAGAAAGAGTTCATCTCAGTCAAAAGGTGTTGAATAGTTACAATGTTTTTATTATTGATTTCTTGATAAGAGTTGATTCATTTTAGCTGCAGTCGCGCACTCCAAATTTCGTCGGTCGCCCGACTCCCGCAAAGACCTGGCAGAGGACGAGTCGAATGGCAACGCGATTGACGGTGAGATTCACTCAAATAATAATTACGTTATTCTGATAATTTCAGGTGTAAAAAATTATTTTTTTTCTGCCATTAATTAATGTGCAACTGAACAATCTGCAAAGAATTTAATTGTCACGAATCCATCAATCATGTGTGCTGATTCATAAAAATTAAAGTGAATAATGTACTGCAAACCAGGAGAAAATTTATTTTTTTTTATAGAAAATGTTTTATATTTATCCATACAGAAGAGTTGGGAGAAGACTCAGGAATTGAAAATTTGGATAAACCAGAAGCCGAAATTTCGACAGAAGAAGTCGAAAGCACTCCTGATGAAGGAACCGATTCCTCAGGCGTAGCAACTTCTGCCGGTGAAAGTATTTCGTTGGGAACCACGGTTCCTGATGCGAACGTCCCTCTGCCTAACTCTGAAGCAAATACTGCGGAATCCAGTGCGGTTCTTGCCACAGCTGTTGCAGGCGCAGAACCAGAATCTCCTCCTTCTGTAGTTTATGCAGAGAACGAGAGCGCTGATGTGATTGGAGGCGAGACTCCAATCTTACTTGTCACGCTGTCGCCTGAGACACACTCGGCATCACCAGAAGACTCCGCTGAAATCATCAGCCATCCTTCCGGTGACTCAGATGAGTCACACTCAGATTTCCTGTCCATCGTTACTCTCCCTCCTGATGAATCTTCAGAAGATGATCTTAATGTCCTAGAAATTCCGGAAATCGTTGACAACTCAATAAGTTCCGAAGTTGCGGGCGAACCTGCTGGAGGTGACGAAGAGGTAGTCCCCACGACTGTGACGCCCAACTTGCCGAGAGGGCCTTGGCCCTGGGATCTCCCTACTGAAGGAGGGGAACAGTGCGGTCAGGCGCGCTTTGGACCAGAGGCAAGGGGCAGCAGGCGCCGAAGGACGCTGAAAATTCTGCAGGGCAAGGAAGCTTTGCCAGGCGCCTTCCCTTGGCAAGTGGCAATCCTTGATCATGACAGGGTAAGTACCTGCTACTACTTAACTAAATCCCATCAATTTTTATTTTTTACTATATGTCTATTAACATAGATGTAGTTTAATATTAAAACTTATCACCTTGTAAGCCACGACTTCCTACAAGAGTTCGTTAAATATTTAAAATGCGCATATGATACACCACCGGAACCAACTTGTTTAATCAGGTTTCCAAGCTAATTATCAACTGTTATACTTCTTTTTCTAAACAAGCATGCTTCATACATCGCCCCACTGAGAACGTCTACTCAGCGCAGTTCGTAAAACATTCAGTAGCGTTTAGTATTCACAAAGTTCGAAGTTCAGTAGCGTTGAGCTGCCTACAACCGAGCTCATCAGACAGAATATTCAAGCGCTAATCTACTGTGTGCTGCAGGAGTCCCTTTAGCTTATCTACTTATCATATCTCAACGGGGATAATATTGGCGTAGAATATTAGCGTTTTGTTGTGTAAAATTTTAACATATTTGATGAAAATTCAGACTTTTCCAGAATATCAAACGGGTCTTTTCAGTGATTTTTGTCCCTTTCGAAAAACGCAGAGAGCCGATAAGCACAAATATATTATATTCAAAAAATTAAAAATCATTTATAGCAGTTTCGTCCTTTTCTAAGTTTAGCATAAAGCCTCGAGATTCATGAGGAAAGATATATAATTTCGTACATTACCTCTCAATTAAAATAGTTCCTATTTTTAAGCCTAATCGGAAAAAAATGTTTAGAAATAAATAAAAAAATTAGTAATATAATTATAATAATTAGTGCTAATGATTTGAAGCCGCAATAGGTCAAGTTACCCAGCAAAAGGTCCTATGACGGCACAAACTTTCGTTGCAGACCGAACGCAAACATTCAATTAAGAATGGTAATTAATTGAGACGGAATCCTGCCACATAGTTTCATCTCATCAATTTTAAATGAAACTTCCGGCAACAAAAATTATCTTCAATCCCCATACGCCGTGTCGTTCAACTCTACGCTATTGCGTACAGTTGTACATATAGGATCATATTACGCTACGTTGTGCTCCATGAACGCGGCTGTCATCTACTTCTAAGAGCTTTATTTCATTAATTAAAATGTCTCTAAGCTAGATTCAACGGAAAAGTTTTTCCAAAACAACATAAGTAAAAATATATATGGACCTTATTTAATTAATAAATTTTGCAGCGCAATGCTAATTAGAGCCCAAACCATCTCCCTTTTTCCGGCATCGCTCGCTGTCAAGGGGTGTTTTTCTGGCCTGAATTTGTAATGAATTTTTGTGCAAGTCTCCCATAGGTAGTTAACAGAGATGACTTGGATCTTTGCTGCTCCCTGGTGCTCACTCCACCCTCTTGACGAACTTCTGACTTCAGCAAAAAACATGACTGAATAATCTTTGTTAGACTTTAATTGGTCTTTGATTTTCTGTCTCGTTATTTTATCGCACTACTTTCTTTAGTGTTCGTGTATTTGTCACTATTCTAATTATTTTCATTTATTTTCGATGCAATGCGGATTCGCAATATTTTATCTCGCATATTACTTCAATATCTCTACCGCGGAGTTGCAGCAATTACTATAATAACGAAATATGGACGAGGCTGAAAAAATATCTTACAATTATCTTTGTAAAACTCATCCAGTTAAAAAGAAAAATCCTGTTATTAATTCCTGTTAATTAACTTATTCAATATTTTGCCTCAACTAACTTTTCTGCATAATGGGAAACACAAATATCGCTCTACCTTCAATATTATGTTTAAATATATAAAGTTGAGTTATTAACCACATTAAAATGTGTTCAATATTTTTTTCCAATCGAAAATTTATGTATTACCAACATTTAGTAATGCTTATAAAATGTTGAGTAAACTCAGAAACAAGTGAATGTCTGGAGCAGCTGCTGCTTGTAACTAGTGTACTGTATCACTCCGCAGGCAATTAGAGCCCAGGCCTATTAGGCTGTACGGCTCATATAAGACAACGGTCGTTCAGTCCAGACCTACTTGATCAATTAATGTATGGCTTAAACTTACATCTCGTTAAGAAAATTAACCCAAAGCTTCTTCTAGGTTTTCTGCCGCTGACACTGGACGCCATTACTGATTCTTTTACGCAAAGTCTAAAGAAAAAAAATAGATTTAATATCCATCCCATAATAATATTAATTAGATTTTATGGCAACTTGTATCAGTCTTCTGGGGGATTTAAAATATCCTTTGATAATAATTCCTTTCAAACAATGTTCTCCTTATCATAGTTGTGTTTCCGGTCATTGATCATGTGAAAAATAATCATTGAAATTTTCAACAAAGATTGAGCTTGCATGCGAGTCTATGTCATTAATTTTACTGTTGAATTAAAATACATATTTAAATTCAATCCTGCTAATGATAAATCATCTTAAAATCTTTCACTTACCAATTAATCAAAGTCATCACGGTTATGGCAATCATAATCATCCAAGGGTATAAAATTAACTCGGTTTTCAACTCTCAGTTTAGGGTGCTATAGCCTCAGCGATATTCATCAGTCTACGGTCTTACCAGGAACTTTTTCGCAAGTCATGCCGGGTTGTGGAATTGAATACCAGCCACGGAGGGAGGGCAGTTATTTCTCAATTAGTGCTATAGCATCACCACGCAGTGTGATGTTAAAACATCACCACGCAGTGTGATGTTAAGGCATCACCACGCAGCGTGATGTTGAAGCATCACCACGCAGTGTGATGTTGAAGCATCACCACGCAGTGTGATGTTGAAGCATCACCACGCAGTGTGATGTTGAAGCATCACCACGCAGTGTGATGTTAAGGCATCACCACGCAGTGTGATGTTAAGGCATCACCACGTAGTGTGATGTTGAAGCATCACAACGCAGTGATACCTCCACGCATCACCACGCAGTGATACCTCCACGCATCATCGCGTTGTGTGATGTTGAAGTATCTTCCCAGACGCCCTCATGAGAGGCCGAGTTTCCCTCACACTTAATTTGAGGGTAAAGGTGCCACTCTCGCGCCGCGCGTCATATGACCCTCGGATAATACGGGGACGCCAATAAATACGTTAGGCGTGACATGGTCGCGTCCCGTCTCATTAGGCCGGTCACTTTTGACGCTCGCGTCTCAGAGTCCAGGCTCAAAAATAGCGTCATGTTGGTACACTGTGTGACAAAATATATTTTGCTCCCAGAAAAAAATGTTTTGTTTTTGGTGAAAATTTTGCGACACGTGGTGAATTCATTTCTCTACATGTAAAAAAATTCAGGTGATTTTTCTTTATACATGATTGACGAAAATCATAGAAGTTAAATGTTTTTGTTAGCAATATAATAATTTTAATATTGTTTTTATCCACCTGGAATGCGAAATTCCTATCATCTATTATTCCTTGTGTTTAGCCGAAAATCCACATTTTTATTTAGTATGTCATTATTTCGTTTATTAAAGAACCCAGCTTAACACAAAATATCCGAACCTGTTTTCAAAATAAATTAGAAAGGAAAAATGTGACGCAAATTTAAATTTCGTTTGAAGGCTGTTTTCGAAACAACGTAATTCCCTGCAGTGTGATTTTGGTATTTTAGGCCTACCTTGGATATGAATAATTTCTTGCATAGGTTAGGAACATTTCTCCTCCCATTTGATAAGCGCCAGCCGATCCTGAGAGCAGTTTCCCCCTAGACTGATTCCTAGTCTCCCTCATGTCTGATCCCCCTAGACTGATTCCTAGTCTCCCTCATGTCTGATTATCATAGACATGTCGCCAGAGCAGCGCCTTGTACTGCATATTTCTCGCGCGTCATGTAGCCAGTCATCGCACGGCAGATATGGCCGACGGTTGGCCGACGAAAAATCCGATGGTCGTCGTATGATTTCAATATAATTTTTTCGAAGTCAATGAGCACTGAAGGTGAAAGGACGCGTCGGCGGCAGAATGTTTGGGATCTTAGGCCGGTCGCAAACAAGTCAATAATATAGTGAATAATATTATTAGTAATGAGACGGAGTCACTTGGGTCGAAGATATTGAATATTATCTATTTTATATGTTTTGACTGTAAATATTTTATGGTTTGACATTTGAAAAATCATTGCATTATAAAATTCTACTTCACCGTTTATAGAATTATGAAAGGAATATTATTTTTGATGAAATAATATATAACTCCAATCTTCTAACATTATTCACAACAGTTTTTGAGTGGCAGAGTAATTGCCGGGTCTTTTCTGGCATTTCTAATATTCGATTGTGTCAATCAGCCGTTGAAATAAAATCAATATAAAGCTCACAAATAAATTTCTATTTATGGACATTGATTTCCTTTGAAATCTTAGGTAAAAAAAATTATTATCAATCGTACTGTTAACGACAAATTTTGAAAGAGTACTCAGAAATTATCGGTATTTTTTTTTAATTACGATTATTTTATTTTATCTAGAGATTATCGAGTATTATCGACACACGACTCAAAATTTTTTTTCATTTCAACTGTCGAAACATTTTAATAAATTAATTCGTATAGAACAAATTCGCGTTAAATTTTACTTTAACCTTTGAAGAAGCAAATGAATTCGAAAATTCATCAATGATTGCAGTTCTTGGCAACTTTTGTTCTTTTTTCCGCTGCTCGTGCGATTGATAATATTTTTTTCTGCTCAGTACGCTGAAAATTTTGAATTTGCTTGCATATTTTTACAACGATTCGCAGTCGTGGAGTATCTAGAAATATCGCACGCGTTGTACGTTTACAAACACAGGCTCGTTTTCCTTCCATTATTTACTTTTTCATTTGATATTTTGCCATAATAAAAAATGCCTGCATTCGCATTTAGATCCTAAGTGTAATTTTTACTTATAACTTTAATTGCGTTCTAATTTTTTCCGATGATAGACTTGTCGAGCGATATTTTACGAGTATCTCTTTAAAGCTTTCTATGTTCGAACATTCTAGAAAATAATATTAGTTTGAAACTGATAAGGCTTTAAATATATGATA